TGAACCTTATTTTACTTTTATTCTGATCTCTACTCTCTATATTCTATATTTAGCTAAGAGTTTATTGTTTACTGTTTACTGTTTACTTTCTATATTTAGCTAAGGGTTTATTGTTTATCTTATACTGTATTTTTTTTTTTTATATACCTCTCTTATTTTCTATACAAGTGTTTTTTTTTTGTAAGCTGCTGGAAATCCAAGAAGTCTAAGTCTAGAAAAGGGGTGCCTTGAGAAAATAGAGTTGGGACCCCCCTTGCTGTAAGTGTGTAATACCCTAAATAAACAGTGGGTGGCAGCACGCTATTACGGGCACTGTGCTGGGAGGAAGAGGAGGAGGAAGAGGAGGAAGAGTAACCTACAGGGTGAAGTGGGAGGCGGTGTCCATCTTATTTACACCGGTGAGCTTGCTAAAAAAAATTTTTGACCTGTCGGGATTTTTCAACAGTACAAAAGTTCAAACGCCGGGTAAGTCTTGCAGGATGACTCTGGTTACGCTATGGAGCCGTGTAAACGCGGAGCCGGTGGGGAAGAAGAAGCTCCCAAAACAGAGCTCATCTTTTTGTCATGAGGCCCGTTTTCTGACGATGCGCCATATTGAATTACATTTCGGGGTCCTAGCCGCTAGCGGGGGTTAGCATAGCGAGCTAACGTCGGCTACATGAACAGTTTGTCGTTGCGTGTGGCGTTCAATGTCGGGGTTTATCAGTGTTAATATAACGTGTTTGATGCATTAAAGAAATAAAAAAAAACAACTTGTACTGCAACTGCAAGCTTGGGGAAATAGATTTAGACGGGGTAATGATAGCTAGCCAGTTAGCCTAGCCTTTATCAGTAACTATTGCTTCATACATAAAGCTTAAGTTACTCTTATTATGGTGTCACAATCTCATTTTATAACATTTAATAATCACGGAGGAATAATTTAAATCCATCAAAGGTGCAAGCTCGACTCTAGAAGCTGTCGTTATAGTTAGTGTTCTGGTGTGAATCAGTGTTGATGTGATCGATCGATTAATGCATCGAGTGTTTTTTACCTCTCTCTTTTATAGGTCTTCAGAGATGAGCAGTTCAGAGGAAGTGTCATGGATCTCCTGGTTCTGTGGACTGAGGGGGAATGAGTTTTTCTGTGAGGTGAGTTATTGTCTCCTCTTAACGTGTATGTATTTACTGTTGCCATCCATGCATCGAAATATCGATATGAAGTTCAGATAGTTGGCAGAATATTAAATGTGTGCACTGAACACACACAGGGACACTAACCTAGGGCTGTATAACTCCTCCAGATTATTTTATTAAACTTGTTACAGGAAGAATGTGAATGGTAAAAAACAAACTTACTTGGAAGCAGGAGGAAGTCTTGGCGATCTATAAATTGGAGAAAAAAAATATCCTCAAGCGACTGTAAAATAACAATTTATTAAAGTTAATACAAGCAAGGAAGCAGTCATGTTACATCCTTGAGTTTACATGCTCCGACTTCATAAAAAAAGACCTTTCTATGTCTGAATAAATCATGTTTTTTTGTCAACATAGACTTGTTTGACATCGTTTTTCCAAACCTGTGCGTTTGTATTTTTTAGCACACTTCCAGTAACCCTCAGCCTAATCACTCTCTAACTACTTGGTCATTAAGAAATGGCTTTATAACTTTTCAAGTTAAGCTTAACACAGTACTGCCACGTCCATATGTACATTCAAGGAGTTATTGATCACTGTAATCATTAGTCCAGTTCATACTGGCCCTGAAGAGATGACTCCAGTTTGTGACTGGATGTTATGTCACATGTTGGTGTCACATTTAGAAGGGATCTCGTTATGTGTATGTACAGGTGGATTTATTATAGATACTCGTAACTCTCTCTGTGTACCTTTTGGCGTAGGCTTTATCTGTTATACATCATGCTTAGTTCTTAACAAATAATCCGTTTTCTCACCTGATTTCTCCAACGAAAGGTGGATGAAGACTACATCCAGGACAAGTTCAACTTGACAGGACTCAATGAGCAGGTTCCTCACTACCGCCAGGCCCTGGACATGATCCTGGACCTTGAACCAGGTCTGTGTAATATGTTCATTATTTTTTTATTGTACTGGTTGAAGAGGAAGACTATTTACTTTATTAATCCACAATGGGGGAAGAGACGTTTTTAACAGCAGCCATTTAGACATGAAATAGTAGAGTAAACACAAGTGTTATTGTTCCAAACAGAGTCAGGAGACTGCAACTGTGCATGTCGGCTCACTGGAAAGGCTCTGCTACACTAAATGGAACAGAGCCTTAATTACCGTTTTATCACTCGTACACCTGTGTATGATTTCATGTTTAAAAGGTCTATTATTTTTCCACTAAAATGTTTACACTCATATGGCCAAAATACAATCACACACATACAGGGTGCCCCGCTAGGGCTTCTGTGTCTTGCTCAAGGGCACCTCAACAGTGCCTCTTTAGCTACCAGTCAACACTGCATACTGTTCCCAAGCCAAGTCCCTGCTGACTGAATTGTGAGACTAAATGTTGATCTTCATTCACCAGCTAACGTGTGTAACAGAGATGGAGAGGAAAGAGTAAAGGAGTTGCTGGTGTTTCATTCAGGAGACTTTCATCAGTGATCCTGACATGAACGTGTGCTGCTCTTTTTAATCTTGTATCATGTTGAGCTCTGTTGCACATGACGTCTAATAATAAATAAAGCAATTCTCTTGTTCACCCTGCTGAGCTGCTGCACAGGGTTGCTTCCCTCCTGTTTCCAGATGATTACACGTACTATAAAATGCAGTACAGTTCTTTTTTTGCAGTGATTTAGGGGAGCATCAGTGAAACCATCAGTTGATTCAGCAGCGCTTCAGTCTCCCTTAGATCTTTGTTTTATTCCCTTTCAAAGATTTGAAAATGATTTCTAAATTATTCTTTCTTATATTTAATAAGAGCCCTGTTGTATTTATGGTATTCCCTGTCCCTGAAAAATATGTATACAACTCTATAAACTGAAAAAAAGAAATGTGGACACCAACAATGTTCTCTGTTTCCCTGTGTGTTCAGATGAGGAGCTGGAGGACAATCCCAACCAGAGTGACCTGATCGAGCAGGCAGCTGAGATGCTGTACGGCCTCATCCACGCACGCTACATCCTCACTAACCGAGGCATCGCACAGATGGTAAGCGGCAGCAAAATCCACCCCTCTGCATTAGGAAAGCTGTTTCTCCATTACGTTTTACTTGACAGGGTGGAAAATGTCTTTTTAGACACTGCTGCTGACTTTATATATTCAGTAAAAGGGGTGATAATGCTGGATTAGTGACCTACTAATGATTTACATCTTTACAGTATTCATACACTAAACTCACAAATGTTGAACATTCTCAGGGTGCATTTTTCTTGCTCTAGATTTTAAAATGCAGCACAGAAGATGGACTAGCAGTTTTGCTGAGTAGTTAAAAGGATGTAAAATGACCTGAGTTGCAGCCTTTGTAAGCTCCCTTTTTAAATGAGCTGTAAAATAAGAACTTTTGCCACGTATAATTCTTTATTATTGACTCTCTATCTCTTGATTTATAACTTGCAGTTGGAGAAGTATCAACAGGGAGATTTTGGTTACTGCCCCCGGGTCTATTGTGAGAATCAGCCTATGCTTCCTATCGGTAAGTAAAACCATTAAATGCATTATATCTATGTTTTACACAAGTGTTGTAGCACAAGACAGGGTTAATGCCGACTGTTGGAGCCATCAAATCTGTCGACTCCAAACCATTTGTTTCTATTCATCAATAGACTGTCTTGGTTGTAGGAAATTTAATTGAGTTCATAGCTAAGCCAGTTTCTTCCCTTTTCTGCTCCTCCTCCTGTTCTTCCACAGGTCTGTCAGACATCCCCGGAGAGGCCATGGTGAAGCTGTACTGTCCTAAATGTATGGATGTCTACACACCCAAGTCCTCCAGGCACCACCACACAGATGGAGCCTATTTTGGCACTGGCTTCCCCCACATGCTCTTCATGGTTCACCCCGAGTACAGGCCCAAAAGGCCCGCCAACCAGTTTGTCCCAAGGTTAGTACGACAGGTTGAACTCAAGGTGTGCTCCCATAGGCTGTGACTGTGATGCACTGTTGGCAGTAATGAATCTATACGGGTTGCTGTAATAGGGGTGGGGAAGGGAATAATATAATTGTGTATCCTTGCAGTCCTAGTTAATCAAGCAGAAGTGCTAAGTACAAATATTTAAGTTGTTTGTACAACTTTATACTTTTACCCTCTACATTTTCACAAATATCTGTACATTTTAGTCCATATATTTTCAAAACAGCCTCATTACTTTAGTTTTAATGCATTTGAAAGAATTTCTAAATATTTTTTTGCATCATTCACGCCTTTCTAACATCAAGAACTGTGAGTATCACACATGACAGACGTAACAAGACAACAGAAGAGAGAGCGACTCAACTGCATTTGAAGTTTGAGCTTTGTGCAGAAACAGCCAGTAAAAATTTCCTTCAGAGAAACCAAGAGAGTACTTTCTACTTTTAGACTTTGAGTAAAGAAATTGAAAAGTATTTGTACTTCTGTACTTCCTTTGAGTAAAGAATGTGCACTTTTGCCACCTCTGCTATCAAGTGTGACGTGGTTGCTTCACATTCATTTTGAATACCTATTCTGATGTACTGCACTGTGTCTACCACTCTCACCATGAAAAGAACTTTGGAAGCCTGAATTATCAAACTAGCTGCTGTCGATTGATTATTGTTTTAACTCTGGGGAGTTTGCAATACTTGATTCCCAAATCAATTGGTAAAACTAAATTTGGTAAATCTTCAGTGTCTTTGTTACCAGGGATTACATACTCAAGAACCGATGCAATAATAATGACTATGAGCGATGAGATACAACAATGAAGTGATGATATTTTTATCCAAAAAGTCAAAGTTCAAATTCACTGTGACACATAATGTCCAGGAAAATCTTTTTTTGGCCATTATTCAGTTGCGTTAACTCAGGAATAGAGTCATTGTGACCTCAAAATAGGTTTTTAGCCATAATCTAAGAATTAATTGGACAACTTCAGATTTCTCACACACATGTTGACTGGGACGACACAATGAGTAAACAATAACTAGCACAGTGCCGGCTTTCATCTTTCCATCTCATCCTCTCACCTCTTGCCTCATTCTCAATTATGAAGCGTCATCGGAATCACGTGAGTTTGTACAACGTGTGTGAGTTACGCCTGCAGCTCATAGAGAGGCTTCGCATGGAAAAATGCCAAGTGAAAACAAAAGCGCCACGTCTAGTATAGCTATACTCTATAAGAATCCATCTTTACATAGTACATTATTAGCCAATAATCTATCATAATCCTTAAATAATCAGTTCGAAAACTGAGATCATGTGTCCATGAAATTTTATTTAGTGATATCTTCCATTTAGCCAAAAATACTTGTAAGTCATCTATCCTAAGTCTATCTATATATATATACCTAGTATTCGGTATACGTATATTTAAATGAGTATGGACAGACAGTGGATAGTAAATGTTGTCTACTGGACTGGTTGGCCAAGGTCATACATCGTCCACAGGGCGAAAATTCCTGTCTACTTTTCTCACGTGTGCGTCTTTTTCCTGCGCACCATATTGTTCTTTTCTAACACCTGCTTACAGGAAAATTCTTCCATGAAAAAGGACAGGTGGCAAAACAGGCTTAAACGTACTGCATTCCCCGTTCTTCTTCCTAAAAAGCAAATACATCACTGGGATCAAAATGAAACAGTCCATCAATTTCAGTGGTGCTCTTTGTCTTACTGCTGAATAATCTATTCAATATTTTGGGGGTATTGCAATGGCCAGAATGAAATTGATCACGCCACTCTCCTTCTTTCTCCAGGCTGTTACGGCTTCAAGATCCACCCCCATGGCCTTACCAGCTGCCCAGGCTGCAAGCAGGCCTCCAGCTTCAAGAGCCCCGTCCAAGGCCATCCGCTAGAGCGTCCAGGACAGGGAGGAGGGGGAGGGATGAGGGGATTGAGGAGGAAGATTTCGGCAGACCAGAAGACAGGAAAGAATTATCATCAGAAAGGGAGGGGTCACCTGCATTCTACAAAGCTTTTCAGGGATGCCCCCCTCCCACCTGAAGACTGTATTATTTTTGGTTTAGATAAGGGAAATGAAAAAGTATAAAGATTTTTGAGTGGGTGAGCGGAGACAGGAAAAACGCACAGCCATGCATCTTAATCCACACACACACACACACATGCACTTCATTACACTCATACAGTATATAAACATTATAGAATAAATAAATAAATGCATCCAACACTGGGTTCCATGCACGGACGTTACCAAACTCAATCAGTGCCAAAAAAAAAAACAGGATGGTGATGTAAGAAGAAGCTGAACCACACAGGGAGCCACGCTGCTTATTCTGTTCACTCACATTACGAGCACACTGATGAGAAGATGAATGGTGATGGGGCGGGGTGACGCTTCAGGGGAACTCTCCCTGTAGGAGAGGGGTTTTATGCTCCAGGACGAAAAGCTGGGAAAGTACCAATGACTTGGGGTCAGTTTCCACCTCTGGCTCTGTTTGTTCTTTTATTTTGCACAGTTTTGGGTAAAGGGGGGTGGGTGGGTAAAAACCCTCTCCGTCACTTGGAACCTCTCGCCTATTTACCCCCCATGCATGTACACTCAGGCTGGCATTCGCAGAGACAGTTTGGACGGTGGCGACGGGTGTTTTTCTGCATCACTCGTTTTGTTTCTTACATTTGCTTACTGGTTTGTCTGATGTTTTGATGTGTTGTTACACAAAGCATTCTGTAGAATTTGCCTTAAGATTCAGAAGAAGAAAAAAACACCCAGATTGTTGTTGTTTTTTTCCAAGAGGCACAAGCAAAATTAGTTGAGTTAGTTGATTTTCTTCTTTGTGCTGTTAGAAGAGGTAAAGTAGAAATAGATTAAAATAACATGAATTTCTGAATCGTTCAGACAATTGTAATCAGCCTGTGTCATTTCTCCAGCTGTCTGTGCGTGTGTCAAACAACTGTCTGTATTGGTACCTAAGTGAAAATATAACCTGTGCTACATTTTTTGCGAGACGTGCGCCCCCGGGCTTAAGGCCTGAAGTTTGGTTTGTCACCGCCCTTCCCTCGTAGCTCCATCCTCCCTTTTTTTAAATAGGTTACATTTTGGGAAATACGCTTTGCTTTCTGGCAAAGAGTAGATGAGAGGATTGATACGTCATGGTAATATGAAGCTGCCACAAGCAACCAGTTAGCTTCACTTAGCGGAAAGATCGCCTGGCTCTGTCCGAAGATTGCAAACCCTTCCTACCAGCACCTCTAAAGCTCACTAATCACCACAATATATCTCCTCAGTTAATTCCTACAAAGCGTGAGCATAAAAACAATAAATTGCCTTTTTTATAGGGGTTATCTGCTGGTTAGCGGTTGGTAGGCAACCAGTGTTCACTCATGGAAGTGACTGGTCCTCACCAAGACTGGCACATAACCACCTGTAACACCACTATGTCAAGTTTTAGCTCCTACCAGCAGTTCTGAACCTCACTAATTAACACATATCTCATTTGTGTACAAGTCTTTTTGTAATTTATAAGTCTCTTTTTTGCCATTTTACAGGGGCTTTGTGCTAGTTAGCAGTTGCTAGGCAACCAGTATTGACTCCAGGAAGTTACCTGTCCCAACCAAGAAGTAGTCCGGCACAAACGTACCCCTGCGAAAATGGCAAATTGATGTTTTTAAGCTTTTTGTGCGTATTAAACAAACAGGAAACACATTGGTTAGTGAGCCGTAGAGGTGTCGGTCAGGCTGTCTCCCTCCCTGGTTCCAGTTAAGCTAACCGACTGCTGGTAGTAGCTTAATATTTGAGAGTGGTGTCAACTCTAATATTGCCCTAAATATCAAACTATTCCTGTAAAGATCAAGGAGGAGACTCGGAGAAAGAGGAATTTAGACAATCTGAATCCTTCAGCTCACTCCACCACTGCACTGATCCTACTGGTGTCTCTCCACAGCACAGTCTCATTATTTATGTTCAGGTTTAGAGACAGTCAGACCACCAGCCGCTTTTTTTTTTTCTTTTTTGGTTTTGTTTTTGAAACAGCGGGGCAGACATTCAGTTGCCCTCCCTTCACTCTCCACTTTATTTTTGTGTGACTGGAACAGATTGTTTTTTTTTTTGGATTTCATGATACAAGAGAAGCGGTATTTATGTGTCCAGATTTTAATGAATATTTGTCTGTGTTGTCTTTCTGCTACTGTGGAAGGGTGAGCAGGATTCAGAATTCTCAATAAACTTCTATTTTCTTTTCATACTCTTTTGTCCTGTTTTCTTTAAGACAGCAGTTCTGCCTCCCTGCCACAGAGTGTCAGCAGAGAGCTTTTAAAAGCTTTATTTTTCCACATTTCAATATGTTTGAGGCACTGCTTGTTGCAGTTGGGTTTTTAATCTGAAATAAGAAAATATAATGTAGCACAGAAGAAGCATGAGGCCCACGACTATATCTGCATTCTTAGTTTATATGTTTGTTTTTGAGCTTTGTAGGAAGATTTCCTGTGGTGACGAGGGAGAATGATGGTTGTCTGGCTTCTGGGTGTGGTTGCAGTGGCATTTCACATGACTCTGAGTAACAGCATTGGTGGGGAAACACGCACAAACACAAAACAAAGAAACACCATCTAACTTCACTGACCCGATCATAAGATCTCAGTCAGGCTTGTGTAATTATTTTTAAATGAGCTCTTGGATGTCATTTGGGCTCTTTTTTTTTTTTTAAACATGAAAAAAGTCAGTGGGAAAAAAAAAGAAGCAAAATACAGTTTAATTTTAAAATATCCAGTTTAAGCCACAGAAACCCAGAATACACCTTGATACACAAGCAGCAGGAAAACGTTATAGTATGGCTTCTTTACATATGACTCATGAACTGTTTTTCCCCTCTGCACAGCAGCTGTCTTTGGCAAAATGACTGGCAGGGCTGAGTTGTCTTTATGTGGCTGTACCCTGTCAGTTTTTCCAGAGGGAGAAGAGGAGGAGGTTCCTTCATGACTCAGGATAACCTCAAACCACTGGTCGGGACCTGCCCTTCTTCTCCTCCCCGT